GCAAGCCAGACGGAACGAGGACCGGGAACGAAGGAGAGCCATAGATTGAACTCTGTGGTCCGCGGCGCAATCGGAATGGCAGCTTGATTGTTGAACTTGTGAATCGGGTAACGAAAAGGGAAGATTGTTAGAAAACAATTGGCGTGTGATGAAGTCGCGTGAATGTGAGAAGCAGAAACAGTAGCTGATGAGCACGTAGTACAGTCCATGGTTTTGTGAGAGCGTGATACTACCCGGTTGCCCAAGCCGAAGTAGGGAGTTGACTTAGGGGACTCCACCCCGAGCATTTGGCTAAATAGGCTACCTGCAAGATAGCGGGGCGAATTTAGGGAATCGCGCCCATTGGGAGCCGCTGACTAAATGTTCAGTTCATGCTTCTTTGTTTGGTAGATCACCAAACAGGGACCCAGTACTCTCCATGAAATCAGCACAATTGCTGGGGTACAATGCCCCACCGAGGTGGAACCTTGTCGCCGAACACTTCGCTGGAACGGGATACACCCGAACCACCCAGCTACGACGCGCACTACGCTTGGCAGCTAGCCACGAGCATGCGACGCAGTAAATCGACCGCAGTACGGGAACAGCATCGCAAGTTTTACGTTCCCAAAGATCTTCACTGAATCTTTACAGGGTAGTTGCGTGCTATAGAAAGACTTCGCTGCGTCGGAGATCATCGCTTTTAATGTAAGATCAGCAGGATCCTATGAAGTCCATTAGATGCGAGCCTAGCAATCTTTTGTAACTTTCCTGTCTGTGAATCAGTAATCTGTTCCGGATGACTGTTCCAGTCATTTTCTACCCTAGTAGATAAAGCAACTTAGAGACGGACGTGATGTGTCCGACTTCAATAATTTTCACTTGTTACCACTTGTCGAACTGCTCACCTTGCGAAAGAAGAATTGCTGCAACTCATTTCCGAACTTCCCTTAGGATGCCTCTGGTTTAGAGATCTCGACAGCGACGTTAATCCATGGTGAACGTCTTAGGGAAGGTCGCGAAGCTCCGATATAGATTTTGTACGACACCTCTGCACCTTCTCTAACGGACCATGTCCAAATTTCGTTAGGAATAAGCAGCCGATAGACAATATTCTAGAATCGGATAGATATGCGAAGCGAATAAAGTTCTAAAACTTTCTGGTGTAATTTTGTGGAGCAATCTTCAAAGCATTCTGTTAGCTGCTGTGACCTGCATGTCAAGGGATGCCTTGCGATCGTGTGAGACGATGACTCCAAGGTCCTTCTCATGGCGGATAGTCTTGAGATATTTTCCCATATAATGCTCATGTGATGCCGAAATTGTGGATAGAATTGGCCGTTATTTGATTTCATTCAGTTGTAGAGAGCAGGAGGGAAAGCCCTTGTCAGCTCCTTCGATTCCGAATCATTCTGGGTTTGATGCGTCTCGCCGCATTACGTTCCTCGAGAGTTCGTCGCAATTGCATTGACGGCAGCAATATCCCAACATTCTATGCGAATGGTTGTTTACCAGCCGCTTAAAACTTCCCTCAGATGGCGCGTTCAAAATTTACTCCTGCAAGTTCTTCCAGTCAATTACCGCTAGTGGATAGAGTGACATCTATACGAATTCCGTATCTTCTTTGTTTATACTGCTTCCCTCTGTGGTCTTATGTGGACTAGTCTTTCTTGGGCCGGAAGAACTGTTGTAACTCACTTCCGATTTTTCCCCGGGGAATGCGTCTGGTGTAAATGAGGTCACACCGGCGACGGCAGAACTCCATGGAGAATTTAGCGTATGGGGTATGAGAGATCACGAAGCCCCAGAACAGATTTCGTAGCACGCCTCTGAACCTTTTCCAGCGGAGCGCACCCAAACTTTGAAGGCGGTTGGATAGCTGGTAGGCCCTATTCTAAAATTGGACGGAAAAGATCTTCGGAGTCATTCGAGAAAATCATCTTAAGACACCTGCCATTCTCCTTTCAGTGTCCAGCGATGTTCTAATGTCAAAAGACATGATAATCCCGAGATCTCTTTCGTGAGTAATATTCCTGAGGCGAAACCCACCAGTGGTATGCACCATGCGTTTTCTCGGGCACATGCTAGGTATGCCTGGTCACCGCTTACCTAGGAGGGCCTTGTTCAGTCTACCAGGTGTAGAATGGCGCAAAGCTCGAGGTGGACAGAAGTTGACTTGGCAGCGGGAAATGAAGTCACTGACGACCAAACTGGGTGCCATTGGTCCGTCTCGCCTTCTGGGCTGGGGTCCACGTGACTTGTGGTGCGTCTGCTGCCGTCTCCTAGTCGGGCTGCCTGTTTAAAGTGTGTTTGGTACTGAGTTATCTGCGGGGTAATAGCTGATTATGACACTGGATAGTGAAAGCTGCAGGAAATTTGTCTCACCGATGCCGCCTTATCTTTGCACGATAGCCAGTTGTTTGTGACGGTATGCTGTCTACACAAGGTGTAGGCGCCTTGACCATGAATGTTTGCTTAGGTCATTAAGGTTTTCCGATAAGTCCCCCCTTCTCTCCCTCTTATTATTATTTATTTCATAGGTCTTCATGGTTGTATGACAACGAAGCATCAGTTCGAATGACTGATGTACTGCTGTTGATGATGATGGTATACATCATACGGATCAATGTTACGCATTTGGAGAACAGCGCATTTATCTCAGTTTACTGGCACTTGCCACTTGATAAACTGTTGGCGTGGCTTGTCTGAAGCCCCCTGTAACCTCCACATTCTCAAGGCTGAATATTGTTGATCGTAGCTTGAGATCAGCGTCATTATAAACGTTAGCTAGAGGTGGAAATGACCTCAGCCACTATGCTGTACTACATAAAAGGAAAAAATACATGCCACATATGCGTGCCAGCTGAGCTTCCAGTAACGGATGGGCATCGTTCCTTAAATCCGGCCGGCTACTAGGCAATAAAAATTTTGTAAAATTATATTATGCTAGGAAATGAGATCATGATTGGAGGAGGAGACTAAGAGCGATGGTGAGGGACAAAGTAACTCACAACACACGCCATTGAGGTCGGCTCCTAGCCGTCAGCAAGTATATCCAGCCAAATGTATTCGTCCTCTTTCGGACCCCAACTAGAGAGCTGAGACGCTCCAACCGACGCCAGCTTCGAAGTGAGGGCCTTTATTTCCCTCGACCAAATCATCGTTTGGTCACCTCACCTTTTCTTCCATCCACACCCTCGGCGCGCAAACAATGCACGTCGTGGAAGTCGGTGGGCTGGTATGTGCAGCACGTGGCTGAGCCATCGGAGCCTGGTGCCTGAAATAAGGGTGCTGGGCGGTTCATTTCCTTTTCCTGTGCCGTAAACAAGGCGTCGAACACGATCGTTGCTTATGCAGTGTTTCCACCAGATGTGAGCCAAACTGCGAAGGCATCGATGGTCGAACGTAACTAGCCTCTTCAAGTCGGCTGATCTGATATACCAGATTTCACAACCGTACAGTAGAGTCGAACGTACGGTTGTATTGTACTCTCTCCCCTTCAGAGTGAGAGTGATGTCGCACCGGCACCATAGGTGACGAAGGTTAGCCAAAGCGCCTCGAACTTTTACCATAAGGTTCGTAATCTCATCTTCGATCCCAATGGCGCTGATAAAATTTTCAAGGTAGTTGAATTTTTGATCAAGCAGTCGGTTTGAAGTGCAGTCGGGACATCATTGATGTACAGTTTGAAGAGCTCTGGTCCAAGCACAGATCTTTGGGGAACGCCACTAGTCATAGACAAAGGAATTTGGTTCACTTTCACGCGCATTGTCCTACCTCTTAAGAAATCGACATTCCAAGAGAGATATCCTGTAATACCATTTTCCTGGAGTTTGAACGGCGGTCCTTCATATGTAGCTTTGTCAAATCAACGTTTTCCAAACTGAGCAAAAACCTTGGACTGTTATGCGCCATCTGTAGCTGATGGCAACGTGATCAATTTGGGTCATGGTTATGGAGGAATTCTATGGGCACTGGTTGACGTGATGTGAACGTCTGTGTTGGAAAGCTGTGCCGCTGAAGTGAAGTTTGTGGTCAGCTCACCGTTGCAGGAATCGATCATCACTGCCTCTTCGGCGTGTATCAACTCCGAAGCGGCCGACCAGGTGTTATTCATAGTCTGAAAGATCACCCACTTACGCATTCATGTCACCAACAACAAACAAGATGTCAGTATTCTTCGCCGTCCCAAAAAATGAGTAGAGTTGCTGATAGAAATCGTCTATGATGCCATCTGAACTGCATTCAGTAGGGTTGTAAACTGAGGCGATGAAAAGACACTTTGTCTTCAGACGCTGCTTATTAACTGAAACAGCGTTTCAAAATCGAACAACACATGCGGCTGTTCACCAGTATCCATTCGAGCAGATCGCCTTCAGCATGTTTGCTAGGGCAATACACCAACACTAAATACCTTGACCCATTGACACATTATCACAAGAAACGCGAAGAATGTAGCCTTCGTCGTCGGATTCAGAATCAGAATGTCTAAGATTTGTCACGATGTTGTTATCTTGTATGTGTGTTTCAGAGACAGCACTTCTTAATATCAAGGGAGGGAAGAAAGATTGTCAGTGCTGCCTGCTGACCGGTCTGACCTAGAGTTCTTACGTTAAAAGAACCAATGTGATACGAAACTCCAATCAATCAATCTTGATGTCATATCACCAGCTTTTCCTCTGTTTGTCTGTTTATCGAGACACACTATCAGCTTTCGCGTCTATTTCTTTCTGCCTTTCACCCCAAGACAACGGGGTCCACCGCTTCTTACCCCCCTATAGTTTACTGACCGAATTACTATTTGATGTACCCTTACTTAATGCCGCACACATTGATGCGGATACTACGGTTGCTGACACGTAATGTATTCTCCCCGAAATACTAACCCATTCCGTTGCATTACAGCAAACAGTAGCGCGCGCTTTTCATCCATCAGCCGTGGATTGCTGTTGGGATGAAGAGCTTTACTCTTGCTACATTAGTCCTCCTTGGAATGTCTGTCAGATTATTGACACGAAAGTATGCTTCACAAGGGTTTTTGCAAAGCTTCACATACTCTTCAATGGACCAATGGGAGGCAGGTAACTTCCGCACCGTTTTCTGTTGACTTCATTAGTTCAAGAAGGCATTTTTCTCCGTTCTCTTGGTCTCTCTTTGTATGATAACGATGTTGTGCACCAGGTCTGACGCCACGCATTTGTGACATGCTTACTTGTAGCCGCCCCTCGCACTTCGTTTTTGGGACACCATCGTTTCTAATAGCAAAGAACAGACGTTGTCTTACTTTCTGGTGATTGTTATCCTATTTTGTATTAATTTGATTTCTAAGATAATGGATTTCGTCATGACCGGATCGCTTCTCGTTCTGTGCACTGTGTGCACCGATAAGCTTATGCGATCCGATAGACTGGCCGCGGAACGTGTTGACCCTACTTCAAAAGATATGCTGCTCTCTGGAAAGGATTTTGCGCTTAGCCGCGTCCTAGTGGTTTGTTGGTGAGTAAGTTAATCTTGGTACTTGTTTAAAAAGTACGAGTCAACTGTTCAGTTATTGGTGAGCTATTTACAAATATTCAATCTTGTGATATTTTCTGCTTAAAGCATTGATTTTCATTTCAGAATGCAAACGAGTTTCATTACTTTGAGCTAGCTAGCATCGCGATACTGTGACGGCCGCTATTTCTCATGCATGGTTGGTCATTCCTATATTACGGTAATTCTTTATAATCGTTGTCTATGCACATTACGGAACGAAGCGTTATGCATGCTCCCTGGTCCCCTGATAGTAACTCTTGCATTGACCCTGTGATACAACATTGAGAAAATGGTGATAAATCGCTTCATTCTAATCACCAAAGTAACTGGAGGCTGGATTTTTGTTGCGATGGTCTGTCTTCTCATAAGAACTGCACTAGAAGCCTGCTTACTCGCTAGTGAAGCGGAAGGGGCTGGTTGCGTCTAACTATCATGAGTCTCATTGAAATGGATGCACTAACAAAAAGCTTCAGTGCTTCACATGAATAGTATTTTTCCATTTTGTCTTGCTTGGGCAAGTCAATGTATTGGTTACAAGAAATCTGCAGAAGAACACTGCTGTCTTCCTCAAAGGTTTACAACGGCGAATAGCACATTAAGTATCTGTAGCAGACAATGTTTCAGATCGCTACGAGCACTTCGAGACTGACGTCCCGATGGAACCATCTTTCAGACTTCAATCAGAGTATTCGAGACTCCAGAAGTTCATCCACTGTTAAAACACAGGGTGGGCGAACAAAAGCATCGAATACTTTTTATCTACTTAGTTGGTCGTGATTCTACTCAGTATTCAGTCCCTCCGCCTTCAACGATTTTGACATTGTTGTTCAGCCTGATGTTGCCGCTTCATTTATTATGGATAGAATTGACAAATAAGCATCCTTGAAGATGACCACAAACGATGCAGAAAGAATAATCACTATGCAAACATGCACGAGAGCATTGTTACAGTCGGGGCCATAATAATAGTAAAGATAATCTGCTAACCTTCTTACACGGATGTGCACCATCTCTAGCTGATGGCGGTGGGTCAATTTAAGTTCAGACAGGCTGTCGTTTGGTAACCCCCAGACAAAATGATGCAAGCGCTTGTACTGGAAAGCCTTGTTGCTGATACAGAGGCATAGTGGAAGAGAGCGATCACCACTGTCAGTACAACATGCACTGACTGTGGAACAACCTCCGACGTAATGTTCTGATTTCGATGAGTAACCGGTTTTAGCATCGTATCATCTGCAACGATCACAATTTTCTTTTTGACAATTTGAATAAGGGGTGAACTGTTGGTAGAATTCATCTTTAACAGCATCCGGACTTCTTCCGATTGGAACGCAAACTGAGAATACAAGAGACATCTTTCCGTCGACGTCCGTTGGACCTTCGAAATCGAATGACTGACATGCGGTATTTGAATGGGAACCATACTAGAAGAAAAAGCATCCGTGCGCCGACGGAGAGCGAATTTCTTTCAGTGATTTCCATTAGTTGCGGATTCGGCATCACCGGAGACGCAATGTTTGGTAGGCGCAGGAGATGCATGACACTCTTGTCCATATATGTTCATTCTGGTGACACCATACACACTCCTTGGAAGTGTAAAGCGTTAGCGAGTTCTCCTGCCGACCAATGTGTCAGTGCGCGAACACCCATTCAGAATGATGCTATAGGTCTGAAAGATGTGATAGCTCATTTGCTATTGTGTCTTACGAAGGCATCGGTGTCCAGTCGTATTTATTTTTCCTTTATGTATTGTATGTATGTATGTATTTCCTTTATGTATTGCGGTACAATAGCGGAGGTGTTTTACCATCTCTAGCTGACATGCATAATGATGATGATGATGATGGTGTCCAGTTTCGAGTTAAAACTAGAATAAGATTTGTAAAAAGAAAATAACAGGGGGCTGAGATTATTCGTGGGGATGTTTTATAGGTGGCTGTTGATCCCGCTGCCCAATCTGAGAGAGAAGTTTCGTTCGAACTGCCTTGTCTCTGGTTTCTAATTCGGCAATCTAATTAACAAGGCAATAAGATTCTGGTCTTAGCCATATTTTCTTGATTCCCGGATTATTTCCCCGCTTATTACTCTGTAACTTTGAACATTCATCCTTGCTGACGCCCCAGTGATGCGTATGCACTTTCCATACACCCCTGGCATAGCTGTTATTAGCACTTAAGAGTTGGTAGTATATTGCCCAGTGGATTTTCCATCGATTGTGATGTTTGTTTAAGTTACCCAGTCTCTCCATCCCTTTATAGGCTCGGTCGTGGAAGCTTCGCATCCATGGTCCGATAATATTGTCTCGCAGTCAACCCCTTTCTCGACCTGGGTAACCGGGAAATGATATATTCACTACTATCTGCTCACGGTTCTCGCTCTCTTTGACCGAAGTGCTTTCGGCCGGGCATGCTAAATTTCACTCCACTTCGCCGCAACTTTCGTATCCTGCCCACGCAATACAATGAATCACACTTCAAACAAATTGCTGATGCTCTGGCCACCGCAGAGGATAATAAACGGTGCCCTATCTGCTGAATCGAACAGGGTGGATAGGGGTTCGGATGCTACTGCTCAAGCCTTCCCGTCTTCTTATTCCCCATCTTACGCTTTTTCACTCTTACCGTCCCATTCCAACTTCACTTATATCCCCCCAGTTTTCAACCCCCCGATTCTTGGCCCTCCCCCCAACATGCTTTGCTAGGCATTTACCTTCTAATTTCAACTCACATGCGAACGCGAAGCGTCACTCCTATCCTATCAACAAGCCCATGTCCAACCAAGCGGTCCATTCCAGTTCATCGGCTTCCATTTGGAGCCCTCGATTTTCCTTCAGATTGGCATGCCTTAATGTACGCACACTACTACAGATCGGTCAACAGGCAGCACTTGCCCGAAC